GGCCCTTTTTCTCTATCGGGAAAGTCATTCGTTGTGGAACAAGGACGACGTGAAAATAACCAACGTCCCCCATCTCACTCTCCCTTACTCGTGCTACATCTTTGAGTCTCTCTGCTGTGTGTGTGTGTGTGTGTGTGTGTGTGTGTGTGTGTGTGTGTGTCCGTCCCTGACATGTTCCTCTACACCCAACGGATGTCGCGGTAGCGGTGGGTGCGCACTATACTCAATCACCATCATGTTTTTCGCCCGCTGATCTAGAGCGTCTTCTCTAAAAGGAACCTCTTCTAAATGAGGCATCATCGTTACGGCGGGTGACGTCGACTCACGTCAACATAGGCAGCACAATAAGTGAAGAAGTACACCGCCCGCCGCCCGCAATCGAGGGGCGCAAAGTGTGTACGCCCAGTGAGAAATTTTGTCGACGATATCGTTTCGACATCGGTTTTCACGTCGTAAGCGACAGAAAAGTGGGCCTGAAATCAACGGCTTTTCGACAGTCGACATCGAAACGACATCAAGACGACATCGTCTGTCGAAAAGCCGTCGATTTCAGGCCCACTTTTCTGTCGCTTACGACGTGAAAACCGATGTCGAAACGATATCGTCGGAAAATTTTCTCACTGGGTACGAAACCCTCTCCTTGGCTGGCTTGCTTACTACTACTGGTAGTACGTAGTACCTCAAGTTGTGTTGTTATTAAGTGGTATTAAGTGGTTCACCCCGAACTTTGCCACTTATTTGCCTCTTGGTTGCTTACAACCACTTAACTTCCACTTCAGGGGCTCTTCGCCACTTACTTTTTTCCCAGGGACTGTTCAGGAGGTTCTGGACCGACCGGGGTGTGACCGCCAGCCGCCTGCGCCAGCGCATGGAAAGTGCTTTCGCAACCATACTTGCCCTCTGCCTGCTGACTGGGCACCCGTCGCATCCTCACTCACTCACTGTACCGTGACTCCAGCTACAAGAGCAGCTACTGGGGCGCGACGCAACGTAATCCATTCCGTTGGGTTTATTGGATTATCACTGCAGCACACCTAGGCCCAATTCATCAACTGAACCATTCAATCTACCTGCTGACGCACCCCGTGTGCTCTACGGTACCATTGCGGTAAGTCTCGTCACACCCCGTCTTTCTTTATTGCTGTGTGGCGTTGCAGAGAGGTTATAATGGCAAACGTGCTGTGAAAATCACTTATCCCGAAAGAACATCAATAACCTCTTTTTGGTTTCGTCAGACATGGCCTTATCAACTACCAATGTGGATTTCTCAATCCCGATCCCGGCTCCCGGATCCAAATATCATCTGGATTCGCCCGACTCAAAATGGACATGGTCATTAGAAATACCGCAAATCTCTGGAAGTTCTTCGTCTTGGTTCTCAGCAGACTTGTTCCTAACTGTTCGTGACAAAACCTGTCCTGCATCAAAGAGGCTAGTTACATGGGGAGGCGCTATTGTAGCAGGCAAACTAATTGGTAAAGGAGAGCTTGAATTGTCCAAGCGATTTCTACAAACACCTTACAAACTTGCGAACCTACAATGGTATCATCACACCATGGGTATTAGATTCTCCGGTAAACTGGAAGTACTGTATGAGATGTCAGCGCCGATACCATCAGAAAAGCCAAACCTCATCGCAGCTGGTGGTACTCATGGTACTGCCTCTCTCTCGAAGAGTCTGGGTTCACTCCTGGACTCTGGCTTACTGTCTGATGTGAAGCTGTGTACTGAGGGGCAGGAGGTTCTAGCTCACCGCAGCATCCTGGCTGCCCGCAGTGAGTTTTTTAAAACAAAGTTCAAGCCTGAGTGGGATGGACACACTGTCGACGTTGATGTGGAACTCCCCGTCCTCAAGGAGATGCTCAGGTACTAAGACGGGTTTATTATGGTTTGTACAGTTGTACTGTTTGTTTTTTTCAATTCTTCTAACATAGTTTGCTCTCTTCTTTCCATCTTTGTCTTTCAGGTATATCTACACAGGAAGTCTTGGAGATAATGTTGACATGGTCAAGCTTCTCGTAGCTGCTGATATGTACTTGGTCTCTGACTTGTGCGATGAGGTATCAGAACGGCTTAAGCATTATTTGTCATCTAACATCAAGAGCGCTATATCAGTCTGCTGCGACTTGTTAAAAACTAGTGCGACTCTGAACTGCCCAACCCTCTGGAAAGTTGTACTTCGTTACCTGAAATTGCATCGTGATCAGGTATGATGTATAGTACTCCCTGGTACCCTTTTTCCAGCTTTATGTTGAGGGAAAGATATTGGTTTCCTGTCAACTTCACCCTAATTTTTGTTTGAATTTAATTCTTGCAGGTGCTGAAGTCTAGAGAGTGGATGGATTTCCAGACGACCAACCGCCAGACAGCAGGCGAAGCTATGCTTGACATGTACAACCTCCTTGACTAGTAATCTTTGAAAAGGATGAGTTAACTTAAACTACCACCTGTGTCAGAAGTTTATTTTTTTAATCTTTAGTTATCACTCTATTATCTTTGAAACGGATATATTACTTAAACTACCACCTAAGAGAAGTTATTTTTTTTTCTTTATTAATCAATATATTTGTCGAATTGACTGATTTT